AAAATCTGGTGATAGACTGACATCTCTTTTGAGCGAGAAATTTCACAGAAACGAATCGACAATTCGCACAGTTACGAAAAATGAAAGTAAAATGAGAGCTAGAATTTCTGCCGAGATATCATCAAGTTTGAAGAAATCCTCGCGTACAAACGATCTTTTATTGACAAAAACAGAAAATTGTTTAATTGTACGGACAGCAGATTGCAACAGGCAGAACATTCCTTTGAACACTTGTTTAATAAGACAGAAAGCGCAAAGAATTTTTTTGTCGTATTAAAAAAAGACTGTTTGATTATAACTTTTTGCGCTCTCGGATTCGTGTAACGCGAAACGTGTATCTCGTGTTATAGGGGCTCCTGTACTATATGTACACAAGAGAGACCTGTTTCTCTCTGTCTCGTTTCCTTTATAACGACCACTGTACGTTGCAGGGAAGTAAAAGGTACGTCGAATCGGAGGCGAGCGAGTCCCTCGAGTGGAACAGATATCAGATTTTCGTAGAAAATCCGTCGCCGAGGAGGTTCCCGCAAATTCCTGAGGTCGTTGGATCGTTGGCCGATCGTTTTCACGGCTCGCCGATGAAATCAGGGTTCCCGTTTCGTGAAACGCGCCAGGACGGCGAAGCCTCCGTTCGGAAATCCGATAACCCGGATTCCATCATTGGTATTTTTTTTCTTTTACACCTCCTTTACACCTTTTTCTATACACGGGGGCGTCAATCCCACGTTCGAAACCTCAGCTAAGCGTTCGAAAGTTCACGAAATCTGGCATTTTAAGATTTGTCGCGAGTGAAAACGGAACGAGACGACGACGACGGAGCGTTGTCCAACGATCTCAAGACCGAAGTGACGAACGCGTTCGAGGACGTGAATCTGAAGGACGACAGTTTGGAGGAGAAGAAAGAGATTCTCGTCAACGGGGATTCTCGTCTGGTGGTGTCGTCGTCGTTGTCGTTGTCGTCCTCCTTCTCCTCGTCATCGTCGTCGTCCTCGTCGTCGTCGTCAGCGTCGAACAACGCGACGGAATGTAAAACGACGAATCGCATCGTGGTGTCGAACGCGCGAATTTCCAACAACAGCGTCACCGTGTCGGTGATATATCCCGAGAACGACAGACCGTGCTTTCCTCGTTCGAACAGTGGGACATTGTCTTCCAGGCGGACAGGTAAAAAGATACGCACGTAGTCGGTTACGCGTGTAGTTGGAGTGGCAACGATCGACAAGCGTGTATTTTCAGCGGACGTCATTCCCTCGAACGAAGTGGAACAGCAGGGAAACAAGGGAAACTGGATGAATTCGAGGAAACAAGCCGGCGCGAGTGGCGGTGAGGAAGTGGTAACGGGATTCGGTTACCACGATCGTGGTCTGGCGGAACGCAACGACGTTGGACCACGTTTGAACGAGACGAACGCAAGTAAGAAGGGTAATTGGCGCGTTCAACACGTTCACATCAGCGCTGTTTTTTTCATTTCGTTCCATAGGCAGTAAAAATGATACCTTGCTCCATCTATACTGATGAGAATAAATAAATTTTTATTTTTTTCGGGAAATTCAGCTGTGTACCACTAGTGGTGCAGGTCGACATGAATGTGTTAATCACTTGTGCTGGAATGACACGCACGTTGAGAACTTTTGGCTCCAAAATTGCAACATTTTCTCAGTTTTAAGTATATTTAAGTAGAACCTAGACAGAATAAATGATAAATTTACTTCTTAGTAATTTCTATCTAGTGATATTATTCCATGGTGGTTCCCGAGTTGAACCACTTGCATTGGCAACTGATTGCGGACCATAACGAGTGACCGAACCGTATACAATAATTTGTCGCTTTCTTTTTCTTTTGAACTCGTCGGTATGA